CAATGAAAGGCAGAAGTGAAAGTCAAGCAGCATTTGGGGCTGCTGTTTCCCTGGAAACCAGGGAGATCCGGGGTGGGAGGTGTGCAGGGCGGGGGGCTGATGCGGCTCACCCCCAGTGGCACGGCACAAACCCTCCGTGATTCACGTCAGCAAGGCAGCATCTCTATTAACGGGGTGGGGAGAGAGCTGTGTTCCTGCTCTGCCTCTCCCTGGAGAGAGACAAAGAACCAGGAGCAGGCACAGCCCTGGCTTGGGGGGGAAGAGGAGAGGCTGCGGGCGTGGAGCAGGGAGACAGCAGACACGTGTCATTGAGGCCCAGGGTGGATTGATTCCATCACCCAGCAGTGCCCTACTGCTGACCACACTGTCACCCCCTTCCCTCACAAGCTGCTCCAAACCCCCTAATTACAGCCCCCATCCCCGTGCCCCTCCATCGTGCCCACTTTGGCACTGCCAAACCCAAACCCCAAAACCCCAGGGAACTCTGGCAGAGCCTTCCTGCTTCACAGCCCCGCTAACGGAGGCACCTGTGTGCAAATGATTGTGTGGTCAGCAAAGACACTTGGGGATGTGTGTGGGGGTGTGTGCATCCCCCCAGAAAATAAATATGGGGAGGGGATGAGGGTGGGTGCTGCTTTGGGGTGTTGGAGCACGGGGAGGACACAGAGCAGCGCAGTGCCTGTGCTGAGGTTCAGCTGAGGATGCCAGGAGGGTTGTGTGTGGTGTACAGGAAGGAATAGTGTACATCTCTGAGATGGGGGATTTTGGGGTGGGATAGATGAGGGCATGAGAGGCAGGGACAGAGTTAACTGCCCAGCATGGCAAGACCCTGGAGTTAACAGGCTGCCCTGTTTCTCAGATCCATTGCTCCCCTCGCCCTTTGATGCAGTCTTCTTCCTGTGCCATGGATGTGTGCATAGTGCTGGAGAGGGGGGACAGATTGCTGCATTCTCCCCCTATTTTTTCAATTAACCATCTGGAAGGCATTAATCAAGCTACACATTTTTTACTATGTAGGCATAACCAGTGAACTGTTAAGTAGAAAGCTTTATCTTCTGAGCCCTGTGGCCTGGGAGAGAGAAAAGAGAGGGGAAAAAAGAAAAAACAAGAAAGCAGGGAGGATGAGATGGCGAACCAGTGAAAGAGAAGGGGAAAAAAAATAAAAAGAAAAAGCAAAAAACATCAATGGTAGAAAAAGAGACCAGAAAGGGGGAGAATATGGGTGAAGCTGGACATAAAATTGGAAATGGGGAGGAAGGGGGAAGGAGGTGGGAGGATAGAAGAAGGTGGAAGAGGGCTGCCCCAGTGGGGGTATGGGGGCAGGGGCTGTGGCAGGGCAGGCTGGCAGCCCCGCAGAGCTGCTGGCTCTTTAAGAAATCTCGTGTGCTAAATTTATCTTCTCTGCTGTCTGTGAAGTCTGTTTGTAGGAGATGAAGCCTTGAGGAGAGCCTTTGCCACTGCCTGCCGTGCTATAAATAGATCCGAAGAGACGAAGGGAATTTATATATATCCTCACTGGGTCTAGATACAACACTGCAACTGCCCTTTCTCCGAGCAGGGGGCCCAGGCGAGCTCTTAACCCTTTCATCTGTGATGCATTTGGGGTGGAGGAGAAAGCTCTGAGGGGGAGAAGGACAACAGGACAGGAACCACTTAAAAAATTACCACCGCTGCCTTGCCCTTGTGTGGATTGCTTTCGCAGCCTCCCAGCTTGGCTGCTCTAGGAGGGCAGCTGGGAACACAGTGCCTGTGCCACCCTAATCCTGCTCTGTGCTGGGGTAACTGGGCATTGTGGTGGTGGGGGTGAGCAAAAAGGGAGCTGCAACCTTGGCAGGAGAGCCCAAGGTGGGAGGTGCAGAGTCCATGGCCGGGACCAAGGAGTGGGATGAGTCATCCCCCTGTGCTGCACACAGCATCCACTCTCCGGATTATACCGCACCCCTGGGAAACCGCGGCCACGAACGCACGTCCCCGCTTCCCCTACAGTGTCAGATGCAAAAAATGTATTAAATGAAAATTTTCCACCCCATTTGTGGAGCCCCTCAGGCTAAAACCTTTGCACAGTGTCCATCCCAAAATCGCAGCCTGGCTGCAGGGCTGGCTGCAGAAAGGACACGCGGGCTGTTGTGCTCACAGAGGGTCCCCCTCGCCAGGATTTGCTTATCACCTGCAGTGCTGGTTGGAAATGCAGAGCGTGACACAGTGAGATATGGCTACCACGCTCCATGCACCAAACCCCGCTCACGCTGGCAGCTGGCATAAATCCACAGCCACGCCAATGATTTTTGCAAGATCACACCAATCTGTATCAGCAGAGATTTACATCAGGGCAGAATTTAGCCCTGTTGATTCAAAAGGAAGGGACAGGTAGGACAGAAAGGAGAAAAACAAGACTGAGATGACATTTGTCTTCAAAAAGCCAGATCATGTCTTTCTTTGCAATTAAAGGACAGGTATAGCCACACTGTGCAGCTCAGCATCCTCCAGAGATACCCCAGTTAGATGCAGATCGCAAACTCTGGTGATCTGCCCAAATAAAACTGCTTGGGCAAGTAAAATTGGAACCATGTCAGGCTTTGAGTTGGTTTTTGAGCAGAGGTGGCACAGCCATCCACAGCTGTGCCGGGCTGTAGCCACCTGCTCATCCAGAGCGTTTCACCTGCAGTGCTTGGCCAGCCCGGGGATGCCAGCACTACAGGACCACCAGGCGTGGGGCCTGGGTGGAACAAGATTCAAAAGGCAGCTGGTCTGTGGCACCAGCTTCAGGTCAGGTCCTGCCTCTGGGCTTCCTAAACCCTGATAAACCAACCCAGCTTGGGGTAAAGCAAGTGGTATATCCCAGAGAGCATGGAGGTGTTTAATTCTTTAGAGTTCAGATCTTACAAAGTATCCTGAACACCAACTTCCCTTTGATAGACCCTGCTTGAAGAGTCAACCTTCACCTGTTCCTAGAAGGGCCAAGGAGATCTTTCTCCACCTCATTTGGTGGCTGTGTACCCAGGGCAGGTGGGACTCATGGAGGGATGAGAGGCTTCACGCACCTCTCGCAGTCAAAGGGGAGCATGAGCAAATCTCAGTCACCCCAGCGACCTTTTGGGGTCACAGCACATGTCACCTCTGGTCCAGAAGGCCACAGCACCAACGCATGCCTCTTTCTTTCATGTGTATAAATGTATTACCTTGCTACACTCTGAGCTGTTGTGTGAAGAGATGGGTTTGCTTGGCACGTGGGAAACTGCATGGGCAGGACGGGATGGGCGGATGGATGGGGGGTTGCCACTCAGGAGCTCCTGTCTCAACAGAGCTAAGAGAAAATCAAGGTGGAAGAAAAGTAAAAGGTGGAAAAATGAGGGGAGACGATGGCATGAGCACAGATAGGGAAGGCAGGAGTGGAGATGACAGAGAGGAGAGCAGAGAGTACAGGACAGACCAGCAGGGTAAGGGAAGAGAGGAGGATGATCAGGGGCTGCACGGGGTAAAGCAGCCTGGAGAGGAAGAGCCGGAGGAGAATGAGAGGTTAAAAGAGGGAAAGCAGAGCAGCGGATAGTCACTCAGTGAGCAGGGAGATGAGGAGACAGGGAACAAACCATCATCCTGTAAACAGCTCTAGACAGAGCACGCTGCCTCCAGAAGACGTGAGCACAGTGAAAGGGAGCAGGGAGCGCGGGGACCAGAGGGAACGCCAGGGAAGGATGCCACCTTCCCCGTGGCGCTAGCATGAGGCGCTGGCGCCTGGCCAGCCCGCATCTTCTCCCTCCCCCTCCTCCTCTCCCGCTTCTCTACCCACCTCCCTCCCCTTTTAAATTCAGAAATTTGTGTGGTGTGAAATTTCATCTGCTTTGACGGCGATTCACAGAGACACTGCCCGTGGAGGGAGCGGCTCTCCCGCGCCGCGCGCTCAGCGGAGCGTCCAGCGCCTTCCACACCGAGCCTGGCCACCACCACAGCAGCCTCCAGCTCCCCTTCCCTCCCCTGATCCCTGCCCACCCCACAGGCCTCGGGGTCAGTCCCTCACAGTCACAACTTTTACGGCTCCTTCCCCACAAAATAAAGACATTCATGCCCTTGCCCCTACTTGTTTCTCCTGAGGTCTGTAGGCAGCTGTGCCATCCAAGCAGCCAAGGCCTCACTGCCCTGCTACTCTAGCACACAGCTGGCAGGCAAACATGGTTCATCTGGGGGGAGACTGCTGTGGAGAAAGCACCGTGCATCTCACAAAAAAATAAAAAGAAGCTAAAAGGAAAAAAGGGACATGGATGAGATGTTGAGCGGCTCGGGCAGGATGATGGAGATCCACTTCTCTGCCAGCATTAAATGGATCAAGCAGAAGTCAAAGCAACATGGATACCTCACCCTGGAGAGTGTCCTCATCCCCAGGAGAGGTAGAGACCACCTCTAGAAGGACATCCATGGAGCTCTAAGTCACACAGGGCTAGTTCTGGGTGTCTGATTGCTGCAGTGAGGAAAGCTCTGCCCTCTTGAAGCTTGTATGGCCAGAGCAGATGCTGGCATGGGGAGGGTGGTGCAACCTCGACTGCTGCTCTGCACTGAGCCTGGCAGCAGCAGAGCTTGGCCCCACCACAGCTGCAGCTCAAAAGGGAGTGCTCAGGTTGCTGCAAACCATCAGTTCTCCACAAATATTTCAGTTCTCTGACATGAACACCACCAGTCATTTCATTCCCCCTCTGATCCTCCTCATCACTGTTTACTTATTAATGGCTTCCTCTATCTTATTTAGAATGATTATATAAGTGCACAGGCACAGAGCAGCATAGAGCTCCAAGCTGCCATTAAACCCTGCTGCAGTCCAGGGTCTGCTTTCCCCCTGCTCCTTTCCCTGGTGCTGGCCACCTTCAGGGGAGCTGCCCA